GCCCCTCGGCCTCTGCTTCCCCGGGAGATTCGGGATCCCTGGCTCGGAGCCGCCCCTCGGCCTCTGCTTCCCCTGAGAGGCCAGGAGCGCCTTCGGCCCGGGGTCGCCGCTCAGCTCCCGCTTCTCCAGGGACACCAGGGCCCTCGGCCCRGAGCCACCCCTCAGTCCCCGCCTCCCCGGGACTCTCGGCCCCGCGCTGTCCCTCAGTCTCCGCTTCGCTGGGGACACYGGGATAGGCCTCCACTTCCCCGGGACTCTCGGCCGGGATATCCCACAGCCGAGCTTGCTTCCCACCTCACCCGCAGCACAAACCTCCATTTCCACCACCCAGAAGAACCTGCACTGGGACAATCCCTTTGGGAGAGTTAAAATTCCCCCAAACACCAAGAGTCAGAGCTGAAGCTTTCTCCCAGCCCTTTGCTCGCTGCTTGGGGCTCGGTGTGGGTTTGTACATCGCGAGCACAGCCCCTGCAAGCCATGAGCTCTGCCTGGTTGCCAGCCCAGAAGCAAGCATGTCTTCCMTCCTGCCTTCTTCCCTCACTGGCTCTACCACGCAGGTCACAGAATCATGGAATCACTGAATATCCTGAGCTGGAAGGGACAAGGATTGAGTCCAGCTCCTGGCACTGCACAGGACAGCCCCTAGAATTCCACCTGTGCCTGAGACCATTGTCCAAATGCTTCTGGAACTCTTTTGGCAGGTGTGCTGATGGCCCCAAGGCCCAGCCAACACCAAGCCAGACTGAGGTTCCGCTGCCCCTTTGGAGGAGAAAGACATGTCTTTATTGAACTGAAAATGAGTGCCAGACAGCGATGAAACTTCAGACAAAAAAATAGTCCGTTGAGAGTACAAAAGAAACCGGTTTAGTCTACATTAATCACCTCATGATATGCAAATGTCAAACACTCCCATGCTACAACAACCAAAACAGCTTTGTGGTTCTTACTGTCATGGCGTGGCCAGAGGATTCTCAATGWGGGGTCTGGCCTGAAGGGGAACCAGGCAGCCCCTTCCCACCRGACACCACCCCCAACACCTGCACCAGGTGTTCCTCTCCAACTAGGAAAAGAAAAAAATCCCCGTAAACTAAAGAAGCTGGGATTGCACACTTCAGTCCCAACGGCACCTCGCCGTCGTCGGTCAGCGTAACGCAGCACAGCCACCCTACAGCTCAATTAAGCCCAAATGCTATGTTTATTGAGGATTTCTAATATCGTGATACCTTGGTTCAGTAATCTGTGAAATACCTAAATACCGTTAAATATATTTTTAAAAAACCCTAAACCAGACTCTGGACTAAACAAGATGAACGTTAAACTAAAAAGTTAGAAGGGACGTTGTTTACATTAACACTTTCTTTAAAAAATATAATTGCTTTTTCCTTTTTTTTTTTTGTTTTTTTTTGTTTGTTTGTTTTTGAAGTCGATTAACCACAGTGGTGAGACGTGCTCTCTTTTTCATCTGTTACAGAGCAGCGTGCAGAGTTTTGACTTCCCGGGCTGGAGCAGCCCCGATGTCACCGAACTGGCAGGGACAACTCGGGAACGGCGCTGCCTCCCCGCCACGTGGGAAAAGAGTGGTGTCACCACTGTGCCATAAGGGCAGCCGGAAAACCAGGAGTCTCTTGGACAACGCCAGGACGCGCTTGGAAAGCTTTCCGTGTTCTAATAGAGAAGTCCATAGGAAGCTGTGAACGAGATCAGTCCAGAGGAGAAACGCTCTCGTGTCCGCGCCAGTATCAGTCAATGTACTGCGATAGCCAGCGGAAGCCCTCGCCGTAGCCTTGCCTCTTCAGCACACTGCACATGAACACCTCCATGGGGCGYGCGTTCAGGTCCTTCAGTGGCACGTTTCCCTGGGGAAACCCAAACACGAGTCACACCCGAAACCCCGGTGCCCTCGGGGAAGTGCCCGAACCGCAGCAGTCCAGGGGAGCCCCTCTCGCCCGGCCCTTGGTGTGTGCACTGCATTTTGTGCAATCCCAGCAGCCTCAAARCTTGCCCAAGAGCATCATCAGAGATTTGGGTTAGAAGGGATCACCTCATTCCATCCCCMTGCCTGGTCCCACTATCCCAGCTTGCTCCACATCCCATCCAACCTGAGCTTGGACTCTTCCAGGGATCCAGGGGCAGCCAGAGCTTCTCTCGGCACCCTGTGCTAGGGCCTCCCCATCCTCACATGGAAAACTTCCTCCAAATTTCCCATCTAACCTTGACCTCTGGCAGTGGGAAGTCAGTCCCTCTCATCCCACCACCCCATGGGTTTTAAACAGTCTCTATCTTGTAGGTTTCCTTCAGGCACTGAAGGAATGAACCATCTTCATTATTATTATTATTATTGATTCACCTTGGCTAATTAGCAGACAAATTCCCAGTAACAACTCAATCAGGCTTCACTTTGCAAGCTAACAGGCAAGCTCTCCCCTGCCTGTGACAATCCAAGATTTGGATGCCTCCCTACCTTTCCTGTGGTCTGTCCATAGAGCCCAAAGATCTCCCGCAGTTTCTCCTCGCTGATGGCCTCTGGTCTGTCGATTTTGTTTCCCAAGATAAGGATTGGCACGTTGGATATTGTCTCATCTGTCATTAAYGCCTGTGTGCAAGAGCCAACAAGARTTGAGCMGAGAGGCAGAAAAAGGAGTYGTTGCCTGAAGAAARTGGTTTTGTTTAAGCCCTGTGACCAAWAAGGGCTTGATTTTAGGGCTTCCATACTCCTGTGGAAGACTGACAGAATCAATTAGGTTGGAAAAGACCTCCAAGACCAACCTRTGCCTGATACCCACTTTGTCACCCAGCTCAGAGCACTGAGTCTAGGCAGTCCCTAGACACCTCCTGGCAGCCCCTTCCATTGTTTARCAACCCTTTCCATGAAAAAATTCCTATTGATGTCCAACCTGAACTTCCCCTGAACTCAACAGCCTGTGGTGAACCCAGRGTAAGGACATCCAGGCTTCTCCAGCTCTGGGAGGGGTGGCTGTTATTTATAATTTAGCWAACCAGAGGTCTTGGAGAAGGGAATGAAGAGAAGGGTATTTACATTAAGCTCAACTTTGGATTCCATAAGCCGTGAGTGATCTGCACAGTCCACCAGGAAGACAATCCCATTGATGGCAGGCAGGTAGTTCTTCCAGACCCGGCGAGCTGGAAAACACAAGGGACAAACACAGCCTTGTGAAAAAACTCCACACAGGGAAAACTCCAACCTCAGCAACCATGGCTGCCTCTTTAGCCAGGCTGTCTTCCTCCCAATAATTTTGTATATAAATAAAAAGGGAAAAGGGGAAAAACTCTGTGTTAAAAACTTSTAGAAAGTGCAGAACTAAAAATTCATCAGTTATTCAAACTAAATTATACTGGAGTCTTCCACRGCTAAAAATACTTCAGGCAGCAGAGCATGAACTGGCAGCGTTTCCTTCCAAACACTCCTAGAGCCAGGAGGTTGTTTCCACGTGGTGTTCCATAAATAAATCCAGGCAACAAATAATTARGAACTGCTAATTGCTGACGCTCATCAGTATCAAATTTTGGTAATTTCTTTCTTACCTTGTTCATGTCCACCCAGATCAAAAGTCGTGAAGGTCATTCCAGCAATCGTCAGCTCCTCTGATGCTGAAATGGAAAACACAGGCTGTGATTCTGGAAAATAAGGAAGTTGTCATGGACAGAATTTCTCAGATTCGTGCTGGCATCACACACRCTCCACCAATAAGGAATTCCCTGAATTTCCTGCAGAATGCAGTGGCTGAAATGGAGCCGTTTCACAAAAACATGAGCAGCAGAAAATAACTTTTCCTGCTTCCCACTGAAGCTTTTAAACTTGCAATTATCATCCTTTATCATGCTTTTCATTAGGAAAATTTTCCCTTTCAATAATTGAGCCACACCAGTTCTTGGGCATTCCTAGAGAGGGAAACATGGATCCACTTCAACTCAGGCAACCWCAGTGCAGCTGCAACCTCAGCTGAGGTTTTAAGACCCTCAAATTCCCCTGGCAGAGATGTCACTGAGGTGTCTTCCTACACCGTGTCCCCAAAATTCCAGAGGRAAAAGCCACGTTGGGAGGCTTTTCCCAGGGAGACTTACTGGGATGTAGCGTGGGGACGTGCTGACCCAGCCTGTCATCTTTGAGCATGTGCAGCAGAGTGGTTTTCCCTGCGTTATCCAACCCCAGGAATACCAGTTTTCCAGACTTCTTGTACAAACCTGCAAGGAGAAGGAACAAAGCAAGAGGAAAACTCCAGCTCATCCGGAGCCGGAACGCTACGCCGCTGCTGCTGTTTTTTTGGGGAAGCCCTTTCCCAGAGCTCTGCTGCCACCTGTGCACAYTTCCAGCATGGACACGGGGCAGCAGGGAAAACACACACAGCTCCAACAGGCTTTTTCCAAGGCGTGTTTACAGCAATGGACMTTCCCTAAGCTAGTGTTTCCGTGCGTTTCCATTCTCTCCTCCAGTCCATCCTAGCAGGAGAGCATGTAGCAGAGCACTATGGATCAATCTGTCTCCTCAAAAGGGTATTTAGATGTGAAAATTGAACAAACTTTTTTATATAAAAGACAGCAGTGAGTTGTCCAGGARCAAGTGCAAAGTAGGGAACATCACATAGTTTTCTTGGGGTAAACTGATTTTTGTCTGCTTCCAGGCACATGTCCACCATGGGAAAGCTCCCAAAGGTTTCCAGTGGGACTTTTTCACACCCCATCCCTCTCACGCTCCCTTCAAGAGGYTGTAAGGACACCGGGCACACCAGTCCCCAGCAAGGAGTTCCACTGGAATCCAGGACTCTGGAAGGAGGAGGAGGATGATGGGGTTCCCTCCCTGGYGAGGCAGCACCTCTGCCTGGGGCTGGACAGGTCCTGGGTGACAGCCCAGCTGCTCCCAGGCTTCTAAAGGGCGAGAAAAACACTTGAGGGGGAGCCAAATGCCACCAAATAYTCCCAAAGTTTCCCTGCACTAGTGTAAAAGCACCTTTATGGATACACAGTTTCCTCACCAGACTTTACACTGGCCAGAGCTGCTGCACACCACCTTAATCCCTAACTTTTATGGGATACTGGCACTGGGAGAAGCCAAACCAACCCAGAGGGGGCTGCCAGGGGCTGATGAGGCGCGGAGGGAGTCGCGGCATTACCTAAGAACTGCAAGACGCTGCTGAAGCCGTTGTAGAGCCATTCGAATATGAAAGACATCGCTGGAGATGAGATGCCTGCGGGGGACAAAACCCGMACCCCGAGTTACGAAGCGTCGGTGAGCTCCTGATGGGAGCCGCGGATGGGAGACCGGGACGGAGGGATCGGGGGTCCCGGGGACGCGGGGGATCGGGGGAAACAGGGGCGAACGGGAACGGGGGTGAGGTGGGACAGGGGATGGGGTTCTACCGGGATGAGGGGGACCGGCCTCAAGGGCGGGCGGCGCGGCCTGGCTCCCGCCCCGCCCCCGCTCTGCCTGCGTGTCACCCCCCGCGCCGCCACCGCCCCTCGCCCGGGCCCGCCAG